GAGATATTTGACAATTTTTCTTGCTTCTGCTACTATTTTTTCGATAGTACCCAAGAAATTACTTCTAGATAATATAGCTAAAAAGAGCTTGCAAGAAAGGTATTCGTCCACAATATATCATAGAACACTTAGGAAAGAATATTGTTATCTGTATAATAAAAAAGTGTTTTCGCAGGTCGGGTTTTCTTTTTGGAAAAAAGTAGTCAGAGGATCGACAGGAAGAGTTGCTTTGTAAAATTATATGAGGTACATCAAGTCATTTGATCTATAATTACAACAATCAAAGTTATATATCCTATGCCTGATACTATTCTTTTGATTTAATTTTTTATAAATAGCAATTGTTTTTTTGAATTTGTTCAGATTTTGCCATTTTGCCAGCAAGTATAAATATAAGCTTTATCTTTTTTTTCATGTAATTTTTTACTATTCTCAAATATCATTACAAGTAGTAGATAAATCTCAACTCCTTCATTTAAAAGGAAAATAAATATATCAACTTGTATTCCTACAAATTTTGAAAACTTTTTTAACAAATTAATTCTGAAAATCAATTACTGCAACTTTATATAGTATATATATTTTTAGGAAGTTTGAAATTGAAAATTGTATTATAATTAAATATTGCAAAGCCTCTAATATTAGAACAGATAATAGAAAGAGTCTGAAAAATCAAAGCCAAAAGATATTAACATGAAAAACTATTAAAAAAAGAAAAAGAATATTTAAAAAGTGATATAAATAAATTAAATAAATAAATGCAGTTGATAATTACAAATTACAAAAACTTACTACTGCTCTTACTACTCAAGTTGAAACAAATACTTTAAGACTCTGCTTAGTCTACAATAATAATAACTCTGGTTTCTAGTTCATATGTTATAATTGTGAAGAAGCTGAATATATAGCCTGAGAATATATGAGTAAAAGAAGAAATCTGCTTCAAAAAATTTAAAACAATTCTCTAACTCAAATTGTTTAAGACCTCATAGTATGAACTTTGTTGAACTTGAAGAAAATAAAGAATATATTCTCTAAAAGTAAGAAAGAAGTTTTTATAACTTCTAAAGTTCATTACTAACTATTCTCATCACAAAAAATCTGAAGTTGTATTAAAAAATTAGAATCACAGACTGAAGAAAGGTTAAAAAATAATTCACTACAACTAAGTTCTCCTCTGTAATTTCTATAAATGAAAGTTCTGATCTCATAATACTTAATCTAAATAATTTTATAATTCTGAAGCCTTACTAGAAAAAGGGTTTGTTCAAAATTGATAAACTAGAACTATATAATATAGTATATAATCTTCTAAACCTAAAAGCAAATATCACTATTGGCTAAGTATTAAAATATCTAAACTAATAAAGAAATTTTGCACTAGCTCTAAAAAGACTATTTCTTCTAAAAGAAATTCTAATACTACCTTTTAAAATAATAAAAACTAATACTACTCAAACTAAAAAAAATAGTAAAACTATTGCTACCTGTTGCTATATAATAATTAGAAATAATTTTATAATTGCTATTCTTGACTTTAGAGTCATTATGAGTATAATATCAAAAAAAACAATGAACAAACTGAAGCTTCAAATTAATGAACTCTCAACTACTGTTATCATAACTGCTAATAGAATCTGAGTTTGAGCTCTAAGGAGAATTAAGAATCTAAAATTAACATTTAGTAGTATGATAATTTCTACTACTTTTTGTATAATTAAATTAACTAAAATTATATTGCTTCTTAGTATAGACTAGTTCAAAAAAGCTTATGTCTGCTTATACTTTGATAAGCAAAAGCTCTTTATTAATTATATAGAACAATCTGCTAAAGTTCTATTTTTGTATGAGAGAGATTTGCTTCTTTTTAAAACTGATAATAAAGATAAATTCAAAAAAATATTTGATAAATTTGAATATAAAATTGAGAAGTTAGAAGAAGCTATAAGTTATTTTACTAAAGAAGTCTCAAATAATGAAATTTACAATAATCTGTAGAAAAACTATTTTTACCTAGCTAATATTGAAGAACTACTAATTGCTAAAAAGAATTTTGAAGAAGAAACCTTAGAAGAAAAAATAGAAAGAAATATTAATACTAAAAATCTGATTCCTAAACAACAAGAAGAAGCTTATATTTAACTTATCTAAAAAAGAAGTATCTTCACAAAAGATATGAGTAATCTAGAACAAATAAATATATTAGTTTACAAAATTAATATTAGAATTGCTATTTTGATCAAGCAAGTACTATATTGTGTATCTCTAGTATAAAAACTTTTATTAAAAAGAAAATTAAACAATTAAGAGAAAAAGAGTTAATAAAGGAATCAAAAAGCTTTTAGGCTTCTCTTCTCATAGTAGTTTCTAAAAAAAGTGATAAGCTTCATCTATATATAGACTTCTAAAAGGTAAATTTAATAATAAAAAAAGATGTCTTCTCACTTTTTCAGATAGATGATTTACTAGAAGTCTTTAGTAATATATCTTGGTTTTTCACCTTGAATCTAATATTAGGCTATTAGCAAGTTCAAATAAAAAAAAATAATCAGGAAAAAACTATGTTCACTACAAGTTTTGGGATATAAAATTTTAGATTATACCTTTTGGTTTATATAATATATCTGCAACTTTTTAGTACCTAATAAACTACATCTTAGCTGATTGTATTGAAGAGTTTGTTATTATTTATCTTAATAATATTATTATTTATTTCTAAATATTTGAAGCTCATATAGCCTACTTAAATATTGTTTTTAATTAATTAATAAGTATTAGTCTTAAATTAAATATAGATAAATATTCTTTTTATAAATCTCATTTGCAGTTTTTAGATCATATTGTTAGCTATACTAGTATTCACTCTAATAAAAGAAATATCAAAAAATTTTTTTTTTTTATTTTTACTAGGATACCAATAACCTGGTTTGAATTTTTTTAAACTGAATTTTTTAATTATTATTATTATTTTTTTTTTTTTTTTTTTATTATCACAATTTTGTTTTTATTTTTAGTACTAATTTTCTCTTTTTCTTTTTCTTTGTTTGTTTAAGGTTTGAGTTATAGATTCTTTTAAGTTTTTGAAACTTTGAGATAATGTATTCATATTGTTATACTTTGATTTTTTTAGTAGATAATTTCAAAATTATATTATTGCATTCTGAATATCCATTTGGCTCTGTAACTAGTAAATTCAGAGATCTGGAGCTACTTCAAGGCAGCATGATCATTCACAACTATCAAAGAGTCAAGACTAAAATAATACTAAAAATATTTGATTAACTATAAAACAGCTAAACACTTCAACTTAGTAGTAGTATAATTTTGTTTAGCTTTTGTTAGTTTTCAACTAATGTATATGATAATATATTATTTTTAATAGTTATTCTTTTAGATAAGAATAGCATCTAATATAAATTTATAGATATTAGCATGAATACTAAATGTTTTGTCAAAATTCAGATATTTTAGTATCAGAGTAAATATTAAACATTGCTTTAATTTTTTGAATATATTTTCTTGCTCTTGTTTTTTTTT